ACAACTGAGAGATGAATTGCACTAAAAAATTTATAAATTTATGTCTGTCATAGTGAAGAAATAAGCAAAAATAAATGTACTTTCTTCCATATTTATCTCTTTATTTTTACATATTTAAACTTCTGCCAAAAAAGTTGTTTCTAGAAAATCACTAAGAAATATGGTTGTGTAAGTACTATAAAGAAATCGAATTGTGCAAGTGCTTTGAGTACTTTCAATTTTCATGGCCTACACTTAGGAAAACATCGTTTTGCCCAAGGCTCATTATTATTTTCCTAGGGTATTCACTGTCCCCTAAATATAGAAACAAATAAAAGTAATTCTACTAATAGTGATTTTTTTTTAAACTAGCCCCAACATATACTTTTTCTTCCTGATCCACTGTGAATTAAAAGCTGAATGCATCACCCTGTAAATTTAATATAGAAGAACAATCAAATGAGATAAATTAATCTAAATGCTTTGCTTTAATTTTCCTTCAAGCCAGGATAGGAATTTCCTGTATGATTTAAGTAATGCCCCCCAATCTCCACTTCCCTTTATAGTGACATAGTCTATGTGGTTTTACACAGAAAATATGACTGAAAACTAGTGGCGTGTCATGGAAGCTGAAATCCATCTAAAAGCACACCAAACAGGAACAACAAGAACTGAAGATGTCTGTCCTGTTTCCAAAAGTAAGGGGAGGAGATGAGTAAAAAGAACAATGACATGTTATAGCCCAAGAGCTAAAATTAAATGCGTGTAAACAATTCTTGTTGAAACTAGAAGCCAATGTAGATTAGGCAAACCAGGCAAAGAGTTCTTTCCTGCCAAAACATGCCAGGGTAAGAGTCACCTAGCACTGAGACATGGCTCATGATAGAAGTGGGTTAACACTGGAAAACTACAGAGGTGAACTTGCACAGCAGCTCTTAAATTCTACATTAAAGTGGCAGTCTCTTCCAAAAATCCATATTTGTTCTTATCCCACCCAAAAAGCTGAAAGCCTTTTGAAAGTTTGAAAGTTCAAATGCAGGACTCTGAGAATTTCTAGCTTTTGTATAACTATTTCTCCAACACACATTTCTTGACTAACAACTCTGAGCCAGGCTCTGTGCCAGAAGAAATGTCCTATCTTTTTGTCATGAACACACAACTATAAACCCTTCTAAGGAAACTAAGAAACAAGCTAATAATCATTATTAGGGGAGTGTTAATAAACTATAGAGTATTTCATACAGTCATTTTAAAAGAATGATATAGCTGTAAGCATAGAAATATTTCCGTATGTTTAAAAGTGAAAGAAAACAGCCAGGAGGGAAAAATTTGTGATATAAACTTGCCTTGTTATTTGATACAACTGTAAAAACTTTTCTAGAGATTAAACAAAAGCAGAAAATGGCACAATCATGCACATGAAGTATAAAATACAATGCACTTATCACTATACTGTTATATCTCTAAAACTATGATTTAAAGTGATTTATTTAAAATTTGTATTTTATATATCTGAATTTAAATATGAGCATAATATATGTTATATATGTAAATATATGACATAAATATATAAAATACATAATATGTGAAAATAAATAGAAACAAAATATATAAATATATAAATATTTAATTTATATTAAAATGATATATTTTTTTAATTTTTTGGTGTTTGGATTATTTTACCTACCAAAGCAATATTTTGTCTTGAAGTATAGTATGTGAATACCTTTAATACTGTCCCTGAATATTACTAGGTTGTTTTAGGCTATCTCTCTGCAGTCACTTTTGCAAATTTTATCTTCATGTTTAAAGCCATGAATCTAATTAGCCCACATACACTACAATTTCAATTCAAAAAGAGAAAAGTGAATTTTGACCTAACTTCTGTTATTAAGTGGATATCTTGTCCCCATGCCAGATCTTTTATCATTTGTCTTTACTCTTTATTATAAAAGAGGAGAGAGAAAAGGAGATGTGAAGGGGTTCAATAAAAGAGGGGAGAAAAGAATTGACCATCCTTTTCAAAAGGAGGAATTGAAACTTGCTGTCAACTGTAGCCATTCCATTTATGGTAAATCAACAACCCAAACCCCATTCTCTGGCTTCTGCTTTACTGTGATTGGTACAATTTTTCCCTTTAGTGAAAAAGAATCTCTTTGAGTAAGTTCATGTCTGCAATGATTCAGGACCCTCAGATGTGATAACAGCCCTCTCTCTTTCTAGGGAAATTTATAAAGATAAAAAGCCAGTTTCACTTGTATAAGCCAAACTCACCTCTAGAAATGAGGCAGAATGCTACAGAAAGCAAGCCAGAGTGGCATGCACAGGATGTGGGGAGCAGCTCAGCAGCTCCAATCAGCCAGTGACCTTTCACAGCAACAACAAAGGCAAACACACCGAGAGGCAGCCACTACATTGGTGCCAATGGTACCAAGTAGAACAGGTGCGTCCACCCCTCTGGTGCTACAGCCCAAGCTAGACACACCCCAACTTTCCCACTCACAGAGCCACCAGGGCTGCTCTGAATTCAAGTCAATAGGAGTGTGTTGCCATGGGGATAGGTGAAAGCTATATTTGATGCCAGTCAACATATGCATGATTACACAACAAGGAAAATCAAGAAGTAAAGCAAACATATGCACCCATATCTATACACCTCTTTTCAAAAGGAGCTAAGTACAGAAACCAGAACTAAGAGAGAATGGTATTAACTCACTAAATATAAAATAGGCACCAATACTCTCTAAAGCAACTAATTCCAGTAGAATTGTCAGCGATGAACCAGCAAAACGCAGTGCCAGCTGCTCCCAAAAGCACTTCTTGGTGGAATGTAAATACACACTCAAAAAATTTAGAGAAATTAAAATAATAATGCTGTAATGATGATGATAATAATTATACTTGCCATTTATTAAACACCTGTGAGGTACCAGTTTGTTATATTTAGTTACCCAGCTTAATCTTCATGACAGTCTTGTGAAATAGGTTTTGTTATCCCCATTTTATAAATAATGAAACTACATCAGATCTAAATTAAGATCTTTCCCATCTAGAGTAAAAAACCTAGAATGAAACTCACTGAACTCTTTCATACTATACCTGGGGTCAGCAAACTACGACCCCGTGTCAAACCTGCCCTGCTGCCTGTTTCTGTAAATAAAGTTGTACTGGAACTCAGACGTTCTCATTAATTCATGCATTATGTATGGCTGTTCTGGTGCTACAACAGCAGAGTTGAGTCATTGGAGCAGAAACCCTATGGATCCCAAAGGCTAAACAATTTACTATCTGGCCCTTTAGAGAAAAAGCTTGCCAACCTCTGCCCTGCCATATGCCATTAGGAATTTTTAACAGTTGAGTATCATAAACACTTCAGGAAATTATGAAATTCTAAGTAGTGGGAGTTCACTGCAACCAATGTCTTTGCTAACAGCTACCCTAAGACATTCTGCCTATGCATAGAGCCTTCTTCCACCCCTTAAAAACTCAGCTAGAGAAAGAAAATTTGCGTTTCAGAAGATAAGAACCTGAATTCTACAGGCTAATTCTTTCATCCCCTTCCCTGTCCTGCCTCCAACTTCTCCTCACCAGACCAGGCACCTGAGAGAGAAAGAGAGAGAGGAACACAATGAAAGACCAGGGCTATAGCTTCATGGAGCTTCATTCCATTTTCAGCCCCTGACCACCTGCCACAGGGAGATTCTAAAGGAAACATGCCAAATCCTACGGTTTACTTAGTTTAGGCTTGTCAGATTGATGCAAGCCTGGATGGATGAATTTATAGACTAGAATAATATAATTTTAGTAAGAAAGGCACATCTAGTAATAACCAACTGAGATATGCCATTTATCAATTTAAAAAAACAAGAACCTAGCTAGGGGAACAAAGCTGGGCAACTTGTCCAAGGTTAAACCGGTAGCAACAGAGAGAAGTCTTCTCTTATCCATTATACCACACATTCACCAACAGCCAGTTTAAAGCCACAGCTGGATCCTATTCGCCAGCTTCCATAAATTCATTTAGTTCATGTCCTTTATGAGGGCCACACTTTTGATGAAAAGAGCAGCTCTGGGGAAGTAAGCAGACTTGGATTCAAACCCTGCTTTGGTCATTTACTTCTTATATAAACTCAGGGAAGTCAGTAAACTAGTTTAAGCCTTACTTGCATACAAGTAAACACAGAGAATTTTTCCCTGAATATAAAGAAGATGAAATGAGATAGCATTTTCAGTGCCTAGCCAAGCACCTAGCACACAGTAGGCACTCTCAACACATGGCAAATGCTAGTATTGTCTTTAAAGGGCAGGTGAAACTGCACCACCTAGTCTCCTCTTGGAGTTCAATAGATGCTGATGGTTGGACCAAGTAGAATTTCATGGTTCAAGTGTAGATGATACCTGCTGGCTGCATGCTGTAGAGATATTTTCATTCTGAGGGACATCTACTCAGAATTTTCACCCAAGAAGGCAAAATGTTCATTTTTAATCAAGTCTTGTACCAGTTGCATAGTTGTTATTATATGTTATGATTTATAGACAGCCTTGTTTCTAATTATGAGGTTTTTATTGAAGAGACAGGTTTCGGGGTGAGTCTGCCATCTGACTTGCCAGCACTTGTTAAAAGTTTTTATGGTGTGACTCATTTGTGTGTGTGTGTGTGTGTGTGTGTGTGTGTTTAGAATGATTCTGCTAGCATATAGTGAGCAATTTGTGATACAAACTTGTCCGTATATGTATCTCCCCACCAACCCACTCTATCCCCTCATGTATCCCAAACCTCCCTGACTTATCAAGGGCTAGCTTCAGATTATTTTCAAGGTTTTATAAAGAGACTCACCAGGAATGGTCCTCACCTAATCCCTTTATGCTAGTGCATGTGTAATAGAAGCAAACATTGCTCAAAAGTGAAAATATTTCAGCTTCTGTGGTGGTTGGAAAAACAGGGGGAAATCAGAAAGACAATGTAAAGCATGGATGTTATTGCCTCCTGCTCAATGTTTTTAATTTTACAGACACAGTACCTTCAGGAAAAATCATCTTTGCATCGAAGTAGGAGCAGTACTGATAGACCAGTGCTCTAAATTGCCTACAGAGGAAAAGAAAGAGAGAACATGAGTACACAAAGCCCATAAAAGAATAAAAACACTTCCATAAATAGAAAATAAATGAGAACAAAATGCACTGGACAGCAATGAAGCAATTCCATTATGATTCAGTAAAAACAGACAGACCTTTCTTAGGTACCTCCTACATATGCACAGGAAGCCTCCATATGAAGCCCAGGGCAGTGCACTTTGGAAAGGTATGAATGGTAACATTTTGCAGATACAGGAGTTTCCTTTTGTGTTGCTCTTTACTTTAAGTTTCTAACTGCTCTCTGAATTAATGTAGAGGAAAGAATAGAAGGAATGAAGGGAAGGAGGAAAAGAGAAATGGAAGGGAAGGGAGATGGGACAATAAGAGTCCAGTGTTAGATACCAGAGTCCATTAAAACTGCAGACCATTGGGGCCCATACACAGCACTGTGGACTTGATTCCACCTCCACTGAATCACTTATGGAAATGACTCCTGTGGATTCATATATTGCTGAATAACACACTAAACAACCATCCCCTAAAGAATAGAGCTTAAAATGCCTGTGGGTCAAATCAGGCAAAGATATTATAGAAAAAGAAAATTATAGACCAATGTCCCTGATGAACATAGAGGTAAAAATCCTCAACAAAATATTATCAAACTGAATCAAAAAATACTTAAAAGGATCATGCATTATGACCAAGTGGAATTTATTCCAGGGATGAAAGAACGGTACTATATTTGTAAATCAATCAATATAATATACCACATTAACAATAAGAATGATAAAAATCACATGATCATCTCAATAGATGCTGAAAAAGCATTTGACAAAATTCAACACCCATTCGTGATAAAAACTCTCAACAAAATGGGCATAGAGGGTATGTACCACAACATAATAAAGGCCATATATGACAAATCCACAGCTAACATACTTAATGGTGAAAAGCTGAAAGCTTTTCCCCTAAGATCAAGAACAAGACAAGGATGTCCATTCTCTCCACTGTTATTCAACATAGTACTGGAGGTCTTAGCCACAGCAATCAGACAAAACAAAGAGATAAAATAAACCAAATTGGTAACAAAGAAGTTAAACTGTCACTGTTTGTAGATGACATGGCATTATTCATAGAAAACCCTAAAAATTCCACCAAAAAACTATTAGAACTAATAACTGAATTCAGCAAAGTTGCAGGATACAAAATTAATACAGAGCAATCTGTTGGATTCCTGTATACTATCAATGAACTAGCAGAAAGAAAAATCAGGAAAACAACTCCATTTACAAATGCATCAAAAAGAATATAATACCTAGTAATAAACCTAACCAAAGAGATGAAAGACCTACACTCTGAAAACTATAAGAAACTCATGAGAGAAATTAAAGAAAACACCAATAAACAGAAATCTATCCTGTGCCCATAGATAGGAAGAATTAATATTGTCAAATGTCCATTCTGCCCAAAGCAATTTACAGATTCAATGCAATCCCTATCAAAATCCCAACAGCATTTCTTAATGAACTGGAACAAATAGTTCTAAAATTCATATGGACAGCAGACTCACAGAACCCAAGAATGGACTAACAGTTACCAAAGGGAAAGGGACTGGGGAAGGTGGATGGGAAGGGAGGGAGAAGGAGAATAAGGGGCATTACGATTAGCACACATAACATAGGCTGGGGTATGGGGAAGGCAGTATAGCACAGAGAAGACATATAGTGACTCTATAGCATCTTACTACACTGATGGACAGTGACTGTAATGGGGTATGTGGTGGGGACTTGATAATGAGGGGAATCTAGTAACTACAATGTTGCCAATGTGATTTTATATTAATAATACCAAAATCAAAAATTAAAAAATTAAAAATAAATTCATATGGAACCACAAAAGACCCTGAACAGCCAAAGTAATCAGAAGAACAAAGCTAGGGGGATTAGGCTCCCTAACTTCAAGCTCTACTACAAAGCTACAGTAATCAAAACAGTTTGGTACTGGCACAAGAACAGACCCATAGATCAATGAAACAGAATAGAGAGCCCAGATATAAACCCACACAAATATGGTCAATTAACATATGATAAAAGAGCCATGAATATACAATGGGGAAAAGAAAGCCTCTTCAACAACTGGTGTTGGGAAAACTGGACAGCTACATGCAAGAGAATGAAATTGGTTTATTATCTAACTCCAAACACAAAAGTAAACTTGAAATGGATCAAAGACCTGAATGTAAGTCATGAAACCATAAAACTCTTAGAAGAAAACATAGGCAAAAATCTCTTGAATATAAATATGAGCAATTTTTTCCTGGACACATCTCCTCACGCAAGGAAAACAAAATAAAAAATGAACAAGTGGGACTACACCAAACTAAAAAGCTTCTGTACAGCAAAGGACACCATCAGCAGAACAAAAAGTTATCCCACAGTATGGGAGAATATATTCATAAATGATTTATCCAATAAGCTGTTAATATCCAAAATATATAAAGAACTCATACACCTCAACACCCAAAAAACAAATAACCTGATTAAAAAATGGGTGGAGGACCTAAACAGACATTTCTTCAAAGAAACATAGATGGCCAACAGGCACATGAAAAGATGCTCCACATCACTAATCATCAGGGAAATGCTAATCAAAACCACAATGAGATATCACCTCACACCAGTCAGAGTGGCCACTATCCAAAAGACAAGAAATAACAAGTTTTGGCGAGGACATGGAGAAATGGGAATCCTCCCACACTGTTGGTGGGAATGTAAATTGGTGCAGCCACTGTGAAAGCAATATGGAGGTTCCTCAAAAAACTAAAAAATAGAAATATCGTTGGACCCAGCAATTCCACTTCTAGGAATTTGCCCAAAGAAAACAAAATCCCTGATTAAAAAAAGATATATGCACCCCTATGTCTACTGCTGCATTATTTACAATAGCCTAAATATGGAAGCAACCTAAGTGTCCATCAGTAGATGAACGGACAATGAAGAGGTGGTACATATACACAATGGAATGTTCATCAGCCATAACAAGAAAAGAAATCCTGACATTTGCAACAACATGGATGGATCTAGAGGGTTATTATGCTCAGTGAAATAAGCCAGGCAGAGAAAGACAAATACCATATGATTTCACTTATTTGTGGAATATAAAAACAAAGTAAAAGAGAAGGAACAAAACAGCAGTAGGCTCAAAGACATTGAGAAGGAACTGGTGGTTACCATGGGGGAGGGGTTGGGATGCGTGGGAGGGGAGGAAAGGGGGATAATGGGGCACAAAAATTCTCAATCATAACATAGGTTGGTCACAGGGTTGGTAGTACAGCATGGAGAATATAGACAATGATTCTATAAGATCTTTCTATGTTGACAGACAGTAGCTGTACTAGTGGGGGTGAGGATATTTAATAGTATGGGTAACTGTTGGACGACTGTGTTGTATACTTGAAACTAAAATAAGGTTGTATAGCAATAAATAAATAAATACATAAATACATAAATAAAATGCCTGTGGGTCAAGGTTCTGGGGATGGCTTAACTGAGTCTTCTGCTTCACTCTCTCACAAGGCTACAGGCAAGGCATTCATCAAGGTTGGGTCTCATCTGCAGCCTCACCTAAGGAAGGATCTGCTTCCAAGCTAACACACATGACCGTTGGCAGGATTCACTTCCTCACAGGATGTTGAACTGAGGGCTTCAGTTCCCTCCTGGCTTTGGCTAGAGATTGCCCTCAGGTCCCCTCTCCTATGGCAGCCTGCTTCATCAAAATCAAGAGAGAGTCTTACAAGATAGAAGTCATGACGTTTGTAAACCAAGCAGGGAAGTGACACCTCTTACAAACTGCCGTAGTCCGTTGGTGAGAAAGCAGTTTCTCAAGTCAAGGGGATGACACAAGGCATTAATAATAGGAGACAGGAATGTTAATCAGGAGCTCTCTCAGATTGCCTACCATAGCTTGGCAATCTACTCTTAATTTCTTTGTTTGCATTTTTTTTTCTGGATGATCTCTTTTCAAATTACCATGAAACTCTGAAATAGTCAGGTCTAAATAGATAAAACTTCAGTTTTAGTTCTAAATTTTCATTCCTTGGAAGAGTTAGTAGAAGAGTCGAAGTGTTGGGCTGATATGGAGAAAGCATCAGTACTGGCCCAGTTGTGAAAATTTACCAGCTATAAGATTTTATCCATTAACCTGACTTTCTCATCTTTGAAATGGGGATAATTATGCCTTCTCTGTTTACCTCACATGACTACTTTGAGAACCAAGGAAGATCATGTGTGTCAGTCAGTGTTTTCCAAAGCACAGTAATATAGTACTGGTAGTATTTGAGATGATTATAGGTGGAATTTTGTTAGGATATATAGAAAAACATAAGTTGTACAGCAAACTCATGATTTACAGTCAATGTTACTTAAATGAGACTTAAATGAAGTTGGAAAAAAGATGAGTCAGTTTGAAGAGAAATATTAAGAAAATAATATAATAGATGGTCTGAGAATAGGTCAAACACTGTGAAAGGGATACACAAATGATTGCATAAAATTTTAAATGCTCCACAAATGCATGTAATCTTGTTCAGTGATTTATGCTCCACGACTCTAGTTTCAGAAGGTAATTAGATATATTCTTTGTTACCAGCAGAGCAAACCTAACTACATCCAGTGAAGGAGACTGCTTGAAAATCCAATGCTAAAATTTTTGTTCACAAAAAAATCCTTCCCCTGTTATTAATAAAACATTTATATTATTCATTTTCTGGTGTGTTGCCTTTTCCTAGCAATGCAGTGATAATCACTTCTATTTATTAGGAGCTTACTGTAAGTGCTAAAATGTACATATACAATTAACACTTAACCTACAAAGCAAGGTGAAGTGTCATATCTTATGAATTAAGAAACTGAAACTTAAAGAAGTTATATAACTCAGCCAAAATCACTCTGCTACAAAATAGCAGAGCTAGACACATAATGTAGAGGGGGCACCATGGAGAAGGCAGTACAG